TTATGTTATCACAACACCGATATCCACTTTCACTCAATTACAGCCTTTTAGAGGTAAGAAAACTTAAGGGGACAACACAGACTATAAATACATGTCATGAGTATCAAAGAGCTATGGTTATAGCTATGATTATAAGTTACCTTTACATTCTTAGTATTGTAGATGAATTTATTTAATTTTTGTATAAAACAGGGTTATATTTTTAAGCATATAGAATCTATTAAGTATCAGTTGTATAGAACTGGAACACTGAGGTACAAGTATACAAAATACCACATTATCAAACCAGGTAGGTGTTTATACATCATAAAACCCTTTTTAAAGTTTTTAATCTATGTGATAATTATAGAATGTGCTACAGTATATAAAGTGATAGAATGCAAGAGTGCTAACAAAATACACCAGTTACTATATCAAGATTTTTGTGCTCAAAGTAGCAATCCTTATGATAAAGTTCAAGAAATTTCCCCACTGTAGGCTAGGCGCAGTGGCTCACGCCTGTAATCCCCACACTTTGGGAGGCTGAGGCAGGTGGATCATCTGAGGTCAGGAGTTCGAGAACAGCCTGGCCAACACGGTGAAACCCCGTCTCTACTAAAAATACAAAAACTAGCTGGGCGTGGTGGCAGGTGCCTGTAGTCCCAGCTAGCTACTTGGGAGGCTGAGGCAGGAGAATCACTTGAACCAGGACGGGAAGTGGTGGGGGGTGCAGAGGTTGCAGTGATCTGAAATCGTGCCACTTCATTCCAGCCTGGGTGAAAGAGCAAAACTCTGCCTCAAAAAAATAAAAATTTAAAAAAAAAGAAAAAAGAAAGAAATTTCCCCATTGCTAATAGAGAAGATCAACTGATATGAAATGAATCACTCACTCACTGATAAAAGAGAAATTAGGTTTGGCATGGTTTCACCACCAAAAAACCGTGATGACTCAGAGCTAGCAGCAAAAGTTTAATCTACTGTGACATGCAAGTTCACCTGAAATACAAAAATTTAAACAGCATTTAGTATTTATTTGCCCTAAATATGTATTTCCAGAGCTAACATCACTGCTCCAGAGTGGTTATCAAGTCAGCTTGCCTAAAGCTCCAAACTGCATTTTAGCTTTTTAAATGTGGTTAAAAATAACCTCACACATGAGGATATAGGGAAACAAATCTATACGCTGGAACACTAGCTTTTAAAAAGACACAGAAAAAGTAAAAGGCTAAAAATTAGAATGACATGTTAGTCTCTCATTGTCATAACTTTTAAATCCATCTTGATGAATTATTACTCTTCATTTATAAAGATGGGGTCTTCCCATGTTGTCCAGGATGGTCTCGAACTGCTGGACTCAAGCAATTCTCTCACCTCAGCCTCTCAAAGTGCCAGCATGACAGGCATGAGCCACCACACCCGGCCCTTGATGAATTACTCACTTATTAGAGTTATAGGAGTGTGACAAAGATTTAGGTACTAAAAAAAATGAAGAAAATCACACCACAATGCTTTTCAAGAGGTAGCAAATTTAAGGCAATGATAGAGGAAATCTCTAATCATGTTTTTTTTTTCTTACTGATTTTAATAGCCCCATGTTTAGAAAACACATCTTCTGAAAGTGAGAGAAAATGTGAAATGTTTGTAGATTAATAATTACATGAATATAGAAAACAACAACAATATAAACCATGGGTCCAAAACAACAATTACATGCTGATGCCAAAATGGTCTAAGACAGGTATCAGCAACATTTTTCCGTAAAGGGCCAGAGTATAAATATCTTATGCTTTGTGGACCAGTGTCTATTGCAACTACTAAACTCTGTGACTGTAGCTTGAAACCAACCACTTGACACCATTTAAACAAATGGGCATGGCTGTGTGTTAGTAAAACTTTACTTGTGAACGTTGCATTTTGAATTTCACATCACAAAATCTTATTATTCTTTTTGCTTTTTTACAACTATTAAAATATGTAACAACCACTCTTAGCTCACACGCCACACAAAAACTGGCAGCAAGCTGGATTTGATCAGTAGGACAGTTTGCCAACTCTCGGTCTCTAAAGTGTTACCGAACCAACCTATATACATGAGACAGATACACATACCCATGAAAGAATAAATCCAATAGTATTTGACATAAAGGTGTAGAAAATTTGCCTTCAAAAAGCTATGGTTCTATCTGATTTTCCTACCCATTTACTCTGAGAAATTCGTAAGAGTCATTTCTGTTTTAGCGTGGGAAAACCAGCCTTGGAATCAGTTTTTGAAAGGAATAAATCACATTGCACACATTAATGGAAGAGGAGAAGAAGAAAAAGAAGGTGAACACCCCTGAAACTAAGTAGCACTTAAAACTTATGGCTGTATACACATATTGGAGACTCAGTTTAAAAATCTAGACTTTAGGATAGTACATGCATGTTTAGAAGACACTGTTTCCTCACTTCTAACAATGTTGCTTTGAGAATGGAACTCCTCACTTTGGCCGATGGGTCAGCTGGGTACAGCTCCACATTCTTTTATAAAATACTGGGTTTATACTGAGAAACTGCTTTTAGAACACTTCCAGTCTACAGCACACTTAATTACATATCATTTTAGATTGTTCGCTAATTGTATTTTTGTAACTTTTCTTCCCCAAGTAGATAAGTTCCTAAAGAGAAAAAAGTCACTTCTTATAATCCTTCATCTCCTACAATAATTACCATCATGTTTAGTATACACTGGGGCCCAAAAACAATTTCTAATGACTAAAGTTTGTTTAACGAGTAGTAAAGAAAAAAAAAAAAGAAATACCCGTATTTTCAGTTCTATATTATGGCAAAAACATTTAATCTGATGGAGCAAGGACAGTTTTCAGAAATCTGAGCTGCACCCCTGCGCATAAGCACAGCCAGAGGGGTGGGGGAACTGCCAGTGCTTCCCTTTCCTCACTCACACGCTGACACCTAAACCACTCTCAGATCCAAACAATGAGTTGCAATCCGTTTGGGGGTAAGGGTCCAAAACACACCTTCTGGAACTATCAGAAATAAGACAGACTTGACGAAAGTGTTGCAAGATGTACCACTTAGAGATCTTATGCTACAAAGGCCTAATATTAATTATCAAGTATACCATTCATCAACAGAAGACTAAATCATAAGAAAACATATAAATGCCTCCATGTCATTCTTCTCAAGTCAGAAGAGCCTTCAAAGGCCATATATGTGCGGCCTCACTTCCTCTTCATTCACCTTTGTTCTTTCCGTTACCTAACTGGCTGTGCCAGGATACACCTGGGCTTTGATCTTTACTACCACTTTTTTAACGGCCTGTACTAGAAACCTATGCTTTTAATATTTTAAAGTTGACAACTTAGTCTAAGATGGGCCACTGAAAAAAAGAAAAGAACAAGACGATGACAAGAAATGATTTCTTTGGCCTCATTTACCAAGGGAGGTGAGTTATCCTGTGGCAGAAATAGAGTCAGAAGAGGCTAGAAAAGACTCTGAAATACTTGGGCTTCTTTGTAAAACTTAATTTTTTCAAGTCAAGTTTCGATTTAAGAACAAAAATAATGAAATCAACTACCTAATGTGAAATATTTCAAATTTTTTATCAAACGAGGAGTTAATAGACAAAGCAAGAGTGAGTGCATTCTTCTGGGGCAATCTACCACGACTAATCTAAGGGCCTCCCCACTCTCATGGCCTTAGCCAGCCCAGCCTCCCTAGACACAGGCAGGGTCCTCTTGAGAGGGCAGAAAAGACCAAAAGGCCCTCGGGGGAGACACTGTTTTGGGAAACGATGGCCCCACAGGAGGAGCGCAGCTGTGTTCTCCTCTTCCCCTGTCGTTATCACTGACAGGAACAGAAGCAGGAACTGGAATTTGGAAAAGCAACTAAAGCTGATTTAAATAGTCCTATTCAACAGCACACACATATACAAGAGAACAGAAGACACAGAAAAGGAGGGTGTGAGCTGCAGCTGCAAGAAGATAACCAACAGCTAGAAGGGCTTGGAGTCCAGTGAAGCCATAGTGATAAAGAGCTCAATGCTCCCTTCTCTGAAGCTACAAGGAGTTAAATGTGGGAAGGAGAGGGCAGGAACACAGTGGGCATCATACCGTCAAAGCTTGGTGACAACATTCAACTCTACTTCACGTTTAAAAGCTACCTTTACAAGATTACTTACTAAATGTAATTATTCCTATGCTTTGGAGCATTAATGAAAAACTTTGCATTCATTAAAAAGTATAAAAATTGTGTTGTATCTGAAATCCAAATCAGAACATGTTTCACAGTTTGAAACCTGAATGGAGCAAACTCATCACCGAATCTGCAGACCTAAAGTCCTAAAGGGACGTCCAGTGTCATAGCCTGAAAAAGGGTCCATTGCAATAATCAAGCTCCAAGTTGATTAGACTTCACTAGCCACCATCTTCCTACTTTCCCCTCCCAATAAGAAGTAGAATTCTTTTTGGTGTTCAGTGGAACACATCTTTCACTCATTAGAAATTCGCTAAGCATTTCCTCAGTGGAAAAAATACCCACATTTATGCATTGCCATTTCATCTTCAGAACACTTTCAAGATCACTGGATATTCTCCTAGATCTCTCAGCCCCTGAGGCTGAGAAAAGTCCCCCACCAAGGCCTCCTATCTGGGATGGATGGAGACTGTTATTTGGATTCCCCAACTGGAGTTTCACCCCTTAGACACATTTGCCAGCAGAGATCTCAATCTTTTTCTCATATCTGCTGCTTGGGAAAAGATCAACTGGGTAATGCCCACTAATCTAGCTAAGGGGTACTTGCAAATAAAAGAAGTATAATTTAGACTTTAAGGGGAGAGAGATAAAACTTTTATAACCTATCCTCTTAATTGCACCACTCTCACTAGCTAATCCAACTTTGACTGCCACATCCAAAGACCAACACCTTCACTCATTTAACCAATATCCAGTGAACACATTCTGTGATTGAGACTCTTGTGTTCCTCTTTATTTTAAAACAAAACTTAAAACTGAACGCAAACCTGATGGCATCCATGGATCAGAAGTCGGTTTGGTCAAGGTGTTCACTTGCTCCCAGTTGAAGTCATCATCTTCAGATTGACTATATCCACATGTGCTATACGGCTCATCAAAGAGGCAGCCACCTAAATTGTAGAAGAATAAAAAGTAATGTAAATACCAACCAGACCTCTGGAATAAGCTATGATGATTGCAGGAAGCCTTAGACTTGATGGCAAGTTTGATGCCAAACTAAATCTGATTAGGTCTTTCTACTCAGGAGCTGCGCATCCAACACTTACTGATCCCTTGCTGAGTGCTGCTGAATATTAACTATGCCTCACCCACACCGCCATATTATGCAGCTCTCCAAAAGCAATCTAATGTTGGTAGAAGCCAACTGAAGGTAAGACCTAGCCAGGCATGGTGGCTCATGCCTGTAATACCAGCACTTTGGGAGGCTGAGGTGGGCGAATCACCTGAGGTAGGGAGTGCGAGACCAGCCTGGCCAACATGGTGAAACCCTGTCTCCACAAAAATACAAAAATTAGCCAGGCATGATAGCGGGTGCCTGTAATCCCAGCTACTCAAGAGGCTGAGGTGGAAGAATCGCTTGAACCTGAGAGGTGGAGGTTGCAATGAGCTGAGATCATGCCGCTGCACTCCAGCCTGGGCGACAGGGTGAGACTCTATGTCAAAAAAAAAAAAAGAAAGTAAGACCTAAGCAAATTAAAAATCTGTAGTTTCCAGATGTATAGGAATTTGAAAAATTGCTCTTGCATTCAAAATTTTAAGAGAACTGACTTAAATGTTCAACATGTTTTCAATAAAGAAAAAACACTTATAATTTGTCCAAAAAAATGAAACAAGAAATGCTTTCACCACAATCCTGGCACAATAGTAGAGGACAAGATGCAGTACAAACCATGGCACAACTTGCAAAATATTTTCCAAATACTTATTCCAAATCTAACAAAGAAACAAGGTTTTACTTTAATACTTTGGTGATTTGAGGTCTCAAAATTAAAAGAGATGATAAATTCACTTACAGTCCATACAAGTTTTAAAGGCAAAAATAAATTCAAAACTAAGCATGTGGTAAACATCTGCTTAATTCTGGTACTAGAAATGAAACTACTTAAATGAAAAAAACAAAGAATAATAGAAAATGCAGCATATACATAGCAATTCAGCTGTTTCAGCATCAATAGCATTCAGCACATTAATGATTTTGTCCCATCCCATATCCTCTTGAATGCCTCCTGTTACTTTTTTTGTATCAGATCTTATCTCCATGTTTCACATGGGGAACTGATTAATTAAATTGATCTTATTATTATGAAAATTCTACTATCCATCATATAATGCTATTAATCATATTAATTCAAAAAATTATAATTGTTTGCCACTGATGACAATTAAGTGTTCTGGTTCAAGAAAACATGAATTTAAGAATATTTGTACATTATGTCCACAATGTGTGTCCTGTTGGCAAGAAGGTAAGTAAAACAGCCATTGTCCAACCTCAGAGCGAAAACAGATGTTAGAGGTCACCTGGTCCAGCTTCTATCCAAATGCTTAGGTCAACTGTACAACCTCCCAGCCAGCCAGCCTCTGAACAGATGAGGCACTCAGAATTCTGTAAAGCATCCTGACTATGTAGAACATCCCCCCCTTAAAAAGGCCCAAACCCTGCTTCTTGAAATGTATACCCATTTATCTTTGTTCTATCCTGTGAAAAAATAGTAAAAAAAAAAAAAAAAAAAAAAGAAAGAAAAAAAAAGAAAGAAAAGAAAAGAAAAGAAAAAAGAAAAATCTTAGCTTTGGCACTGGAAAGCTGATTATTTGAAAAGAGCTGTCATGTTCTAAGTCTTCACTTCTCCAGGCAACAGGCAAAGTATGCTTTGCTCCCTGCAATTCCTGCTACTAAAAGGTTTACAGGCCCTTCAAGCATCCTGGCAGCTGTTTAGAATTCAAGGGGCTGCTGCCCTTGATCGCATTCTCTTCTCAGTGCAGAGAGGGCGCTGGTCCATTCTCAGCTTCCGTGAGCCTGAAATCCCATACGGCTTTTGCACACCACTGCCGTTGAGTCTCTCTCCACTTTTCTAACAAAGTAAACAGTTTTCTGAATTCAAACCATTTATGCTTACTAAATCCCACCTCCTGCTGTTAGTGCATCACTCCATCCTACAACTCTGACATTGTCATTCAATCCTGGTAATAGCCATCTTACCTAGCTTTGTGTTGTCTGCAAATCTGATGAGCATGCTTTCTACATCTGCCTCCAAGGCTCCAATAAACAATGTTAAACAGGATAGCATCAAGAAACCTCAAACTGTCTGTCCCAACTTTCTAGCTTTGTCTTAGTTGTTAGCTCCAGATCTGATGGTGAAATTAGTGTCCCTGGACACTGTCTTCTCTAACACTTTTAGCAATTACTTGTTTCAACTAAACACTCCATTGAGAACAAAACAACTCCAAAGATACAGCCTTAATTCAATATTTCATTTGACAACAACTGGTCATTTATATTGCCCTCTTACTGAGTTTTAACAATTCCAGAAACAAAATGGATTTGTTTAAAATGCATAATACTAACAACTTTCCAATTTGGGGTATGAAAACATGTTAGAAGACTGCAAACATTTATGAGAAATAGCGTCTCTTGGTTGCAAACTCTAATTTTGATGCAGAAAACAGCTTCGGTATTGTAGCAATAAGCTCAAATAGCAACAGCACTAATAATATTCAAAAAGAATGAAATCCTCAATTTTGACAGAGAAGGTCCCCCAGTGGAAACAGATAGCACTCAGATGAAAGTCCTACAGTGTGATCTTAAACAGTGAGAAATAGTGATAAGCATCCACAAAACAACTTAAGGCTGGCTACAGACCTGGTTTACAAAACCACTATTGCACTATAATAGAAGCACATATAAAGCAAAAGCATGCACGTGTGGCTGAGAGCAAACTCAGAAGACTAATACACCACTGGTGCGAGGTTGTAATTTTCCCATTACACAAAGCTGTCCTTATCACTTGAAACGAAACAAATAAAGTATGATATGGTTCTTTCTGGACTCATGAAGGATTATTGAACTACCGGAAAATGGGATAAACTATGAATTTCATATTGCCCAATGAGGATACATTTCCTTGCACACCAATTTTCAGATCCACCCCTAGCCTTCATTCAACAGATATGGGACCCCCCAAAATAACAAATATGGTTTATTGGGATAAAATAAGATGAGTTAAAGTAAATTACATCACAATTAAAATAACCAAGTAAAGAAAGAATAACTCAGCTTTCAGTTTTCAGGACAGCTTCGGGTAGTAGCAAAATGCATAGATTCTGAGTAAAACACAGGCATATTCCAATTCTTCCACTGTTAGCTTGGTGATTTTCGACAAATCACTTAGAAACAAGTCTAGTTTCTTTATCTATAAAACAGAAATAACATGTACCTCACGTGGTATTTCTGACAGTTAAATAAGACAGCAAATATAAAGTCAGTGTAACAAGAGTCAGCCATGCTCAACCAGCATCAGTTGTTATCAGTTCTTCAATCCTTCTTGCCAGATATACCTCACAGAACAAAGCACTCTCAGGAGTTCATTTCATTGCAACTAGTTGGAATAGATAATTGAAAACTTCCAAGTGCACCTCATGAGAAGATGAAGAGTTGGGAGCATTCATATAGGTAACACCCTGCCGGTGCCTCTATTAAACATGGAAGTGCCAAGAACAGGCGGTTACGGAGGTTCTTCAAGTAAATACTATGGGGGACAATGAAACAAATATGATAAGGAGGCAAAGTCCCCTGAAACACAGTAAAAGGGAGCATTTCTAAAAATACAGTCTTCTTGATTTTCTGAATAACACAGACGCATTTTGCCATCATCCACAGGAGTATGGTCAGCAACAGACCCCCTATGTTTTCTCTAGAACGGTCACACCTGGGCTGGCTCCCAGCACTCCATGGCCGTACTGTATTCCTCTGTTAAATCAAAGAAAATTATTTCTGTTTCATAGAGGGGAACCACGACTGAACCAAAGTCATATACAAGATGGAGGAAAGCTGATACAAGCTGGGTGGGGTGGTGGTCTGCATCACTCATTCCGCCTCTGTCTCTGTCTCTCTCTCTCTCACACACACACGTGTACCTGATATCTCCATCATACCTGGGGAAAGGCTTTTCCTTAGCAACGTTGAATACAACACACAGGTTCTGGATACGAATGAGTTACTAAGCAAAAAGAAGTGTCACTGGATGGCAAATACTCAGGTAATTGATGACAATGATGATTCCTATACTGTTCCCAGACATGCAATTCAACACAATAACATAAAAAATTAAATTGATAAAACTGTTAAAAGTATAACTTAAAAGGCAAGGGAAGTAGAACAAAGAAAAGGACACTAGAAATGTGGCTAGGACTCCACCCACCTACCACCAAAAACATTTTTTTAAAAAGTCACTAAGTTCATGTACCGGATGTTATCCACAGATTTCACTTGGAGTTTTGGGGTAGCCAGTGCAAAGAAGAAAATATGATTGATCATACAATTTACAGTACCTATAATATATAAATGTGATAATAGAGACTAACATTTACCCAGGACTTGTTTAATCCTCACACCAACTCTATGAGGTAGATACTATGATCCTCATTTTACAGATACAGAAACCAAGGCATAGAAGGTTACATAGCCTGCCCAAGATCTCAAAGCTGGACAGTCGTGAGGCAGATACTTGAATCCAGGCATGCAGTCATAAGGGACCCATATTCTTAACGCTACAGCATAGTATCTCCCAAACTGGAGACCAAGAAGATACACAACTACACTAACCCTAAATTCAGAGAGAACTATCTCCCTTCCCAGAACCCTAGGAAGAAGCAATTGCCGAAAGTTAATGAACAGAGTTCTCAACAGTATCCCTCAGAACAGAGCAATGAGGTTTACGACCCATTCAGTAGCATCTTATGATAGTATGTGACCACACTCCAAGTCAACAAGCTTGATTCAGTGGGAGCCCAGTGCATTCTAGATTAAAACTGAAATATGTTTTAAAATCATCTTTGTGGGCTGGGCACAGTGGCTCATGTCTGTAATCCCAGCACTCTGGGAGGCTGAGGCGGG